AACTGAACTATTCTTCCATTTTTTCCCATGACCTCATCTGTGAAGTACTTCAGTGCAGTTCATGTGGGAACATAGCACTTGACCATCCATGTTAGCGCTGAGGACTCTATTCTCCAGTTTGTTAATCCAGCCTCAGCAACATGTATCAAAAGAAATGTTAACAAAATAAACCAGGGAAATGTGCCATAACGGACCATATCTGGCCGTAATGCCCAAGGTGCCAGCAGATCGCAGTAGACAAATCCATTATCAGCATCTGAAGGTTCAGGAACTCCATTGTCTGCATCTGAAGGGTCAGGAAGTCCATTATCAGCATCTACTGAGATGTTTCTAGTCAATCTGCTTCCTTTTCCCTACCTTGTGCTCACTTGGGTGGTGCTCTCACATACAGCTCGGACCTACTGACGAATGCAGGGAAACAGGCAGGAATTTGTATCCCTTGCACCTCAGCTCTGCCATCCTGCCAGTAGTGCTCACAGCCCTCATCACAGACTTGCTGGGCTGTAAAGACCAGGGCTTTCAGCAGCTTTGCTTAGAGTTAAGCCTGCAAGCATGAACAAAGTCCATGCCCATGTTACTCTAATGCCCTCTGTAAATATGCTGCAGCCTGATTACTGTTGTTTAATTACCATCTGTTACTGCTACAGGACAGTCAGAATGACTGCACATGCCCTTTTCATCCTGTGCAAATGGCATTAGACTAGAATAAAAAACTTTTTTTGTTTGTTTGGTTGTTTTCTTTTTTCCCCATATGTGATTGGGAAAGAGGAATGGAAGTGTATAAATGGCTGAAGTAACTTGGTAATGATGGACAGAGCTAGGTTAAGCTTGCTTTTACATCATTTACATCATGCACCTATTTAGGATTATTAAGGCAAGAAAGTAGACTCTGAAATCTTAGCCCTTAAGTAATCTCTTCCTTTTTCTGACTGATTTCATTCTTCCTAAAATCCAGAGCAAGCAAAGTTTTAATTTAAATCTCAGAATTTTCCTATAATAAAAAAACATAACCACGATACAGACAAGGTTTCACTACAGATCCCTCCTTTAGTGATGCTCTCATTGATTTTGGGGGTTTAACTCAGGCTATGCCCAGCATATTGGAAGAGATTTTTTTGAACATCTATGCCTGGTGGCAGGTTGTCCCACGCAGGTACAGTTTAAATAAGGAACAGGGACAGCAACTCCACACTGTGGGCTCGTGTGGACTGCCTCCAAGTGAGCAAAGCCAGCCCCAGCAATGGGGGTGACAGGAGGCAGAAGCATGATTACTAGAGTGGGTATCTGTGGCAGCATCAGGCCAGCCTCAAACCCCTTAGGACATGAGCATGAGGATTTCCATAGTTATTTCTGTGAAGATTTCTAGTAATACGAGTATGTTCTTCTTTATTCCGTGCAGTTGCAGATGCTTCTCCTGTTCAGCATCATTCTGAATATTCTGAAAGGAATCACATCCTCTTTTTTTGGTACAGAAGTGTTTGGAAAACAATTACTACACATTCTGCACGAAAGCATCTGTGCAAGACTTCTGAGAAGTATATGGTCAACTCGTGTCTCATAAAATCATAGCATGGTTTCATAAAATCAAATTATTTCCAGCTACAATTTGAAAGACTTCTAATGCATAAGAGGAAGCGTAGCAGTCAGTATATGGTGCTAAGGTATTCTTCTATTAAAGGACTTCACACTGTGACATTCTTCTATTAAAGGACTTCACACTGTGACATGCATCTTCATGACTCGCTCTAAAAGTACAAGCATAAGTGATGCACCAAGTGGTCTATCATACTCAGATGCTTCTTTCAAGCTCTCAGTATGTGTTACTTCAAACATGCACATTTACTTTAAACATCTGATCCTTTTCTTTTTAATACTGCTGCAATGTCCCTAATGCTACTGGAATGCTTTCTGACTGTATACCGACAAAGGGGAAGAAGAATCAGGTCCTGAGGTTACAACTGGTTTGCTGAGAAGAGCCAAGGGTAGGAGTCAGCTGAGGAAATGGTGCTCAGTTCTTGAGGTATGTGAGGCTAGGGCTCCATTTTTGGATGAAGCAGAAGTAAAGGACAACTCTTAGAACTGAAAGCGCACAAAGTAGTTGAGATTTCAGTAGAGCTTGAGAGGTGTCTCCCAACACTACATCTCTAAATAGACAAAATCCTGTAACAAGCCTTCACTCTACATTTCCACTGTTCTGAGCAAGAAGGGACCTTTCAGGCTGAGAAGCAAACCCACAATGATCCAGGGATTTGACAGTTGCCAGGTTTCTCAACTTTCTGATCAGCCGTGTGGTATCTGACTGTCAGGTCTCTACCATATCTGCTGCTGCAGCCGGGGTTTAACCTTCCTGTCTCTGGAGGAATTACAACCAAAGATGGAGAAGTAGAAGAAAATGTTTGAAATCCAGGCTCTTCATTCTCCTGTTTTATGATTCTAAGGGCTACTTCACAGAACAGGTGGAAATTCCCCATGAAAACATGGAAAATGGTTTCATTTCTTGACTCACTTACCTAGTGGATCCTTGGGGGATTTCCACTTAAAAAAAAATCGTAATTAAATCTGGTATTCCCTTCAGAAAACTGTACTTCCCTAAATGTTTCATCACACGTCAGCAAGCAGATTTGATACAGGGAAAAGAAAAAGAGAAACAATGATCCACCATTATTTGGTAATGCTAGGAAGCTTCTGCTTTTTTGTACTTCATTGAATGGCCATCTATATATAGATCTCAGGGGCTGGGCAGCAACCTCCATACTGTCATTATGATACTGGGGAAAAGCTCCTCAGACACTATCTGAAAAGTAGGATGGGATGAGAAAGGCTTTTACAAACAGCCGAGCAGTAAAACTTGCTATTTAAAGCTGCAGATGGTAGGAATAAGAGACGGACATCACTGTAGAGATTGAACAGAGCCATTATGTCACTTCTAAGGATAGCACATCATACTTTGTGTCACTTGTGAAGCTGAGATTTCACTGAGTCCTCATGAGAATGACGAGAAGAAGCTGGGAAGGTGCTCCAAAATAGTAAGCTAGGAGGGGTTGCAACCTAAATTTTAAATGGAAGGAAGGATCTCTGTAAAATCCGAACTCTATGTGTCACAGCAAATTCAGCTTTCAGTTTACATTTGAATGCATCAAGTCTGTGGAGTCTAATGAGCTGAACCAAGGTAAAAGGAAAAAGAACTTGTTTCCACTTCCTCAAACCCCTTACAAGGGGTCAGCCCTCAGAAAAGGACAGACAGTTCTCCGTGGGGCACATTAGACAGATCATTGCTTATGTGTCAACTCAGAAAGGAAATACTAGGAGCAGGCCAGCAAAACCAAAGCTGTTTGTCCCCAGTAGACCTGGGAAAGGGGACTCTTGAATGGCAGGTGACTTATAACTGCTCATTTTGAAGGACACCAGGTCTACTCCACTTCATGCAGATCAAAGGTAGCCATCAGGATGATTTTTGTTCCTACCAGAAAGCTGTGTCTCTCAACACATCCTTTGCACTGAGTTAGCGATAAGTTAGAAATAGCAAGCAAGTTTGAAAAACACAGCAGAAAAGTCTTTCTAGCTAGGCTAGCTCACAGTGAAATTTTTGTACTATGTTTTACTTTGCCTGCCCTCAAAGAAATAGGATGGGACACAAGTCAAGAAGTAACACTTCTATAAATGACATTTTTAGGCAGGATTCATTTTTAAGCTTTTATCCAAAGGAAAATTTTAATCATCAAAACCCAATTCCCCACCATGCAAAACCTAAACCTTAGGTCAACTTCAAATAACTAAAGAAAAAAGTTTCCCACCCTGCAGCTAACCCTTACCCTTTTATTCTTAATCTGGACACCAGAAGTTGTGGCAAAAGGTTTGCTATTCCTGCAGGAACACTGAACACGTGTGCCACCTCTGCAATTGTGTGCTTCAAGGTGCACGCAGATGAGAGAGAAAGCTTTCCTGGGGGTATGCAGCAGCCAGGCAGAGAACTGCGCTCGTGCAGGAGCAACACTGTGGCAGCCTGTGGTCTGTGCTTGATATTAGAGCAGAATAAGAGAGTCACTTTTCCCTCTGGCTTTAAAGTTTGTTTATGGTGCAAAGGTATGCAAAGAAACATATGAAAAGGTAAAAATTTCATTTGAGCAACTGGCAAGGGGGAAGAAGTAAATCACAATATTTGTTGGTGGAAACACAAATGTTTTAGCAGAGAGTAAAATGTATACCCCAGGGAGCTGGTTTTGGGGCAGAGCTCAGTGTCAGAGGGTTTGAATGAGTTTTTATGAATAAATAGTATGTAATTATTTTGATGAACTCTTTCAAGTGCATGTTTATATGAACATCCTAAAGATCTCATGTTTACATACATGTTTTAGAAAGTGGAAATCATGCTTTACACATCCACTTACACTGAGGGCTGCATCAGAAATGGATGACTGTGAACTTGGTTAATTTTTGCTTGCTTGTGACAGATGGCTGTCTGATCAGGAACAGCACTGATACCACCAACACAAAGACCCAGGTGTTTCCTAAGAACAGGGATACACTGAAAACAGTCAGACAGTTTAGGAGTAACTGGGTGTTCCATATGACTGTATGAGGTGCATGAAAAGGGAATGCAGCAGATGTCAGATGCCTGGTGGGCCTCAAATTCAGTGGCAGAAATACAGACAGTTTTGAGTTAACAGGGCTTAGTCTGTCAGGGCCCTGTGCTTTCCTCAGGACTTCCACCTGGTGAAAGGCAGCTCCATGCACTTGATCAAAGCCCCAGTCTGCTCATCTGGGGGCAATTTATTTTCCTGTTGCAGGTCTGTAAATGATACCACGAGATGCAGAACCACAGGGGAGCTGAGGTAAAGGAGCTGCAGGAAATACTAACTGAACTACACCGTCAAAACAAGATCTGCTGTCAGTCACAAGAGGAACCTGCTCATTGCAAGTGAGATTACATACATACTGCTGACCACAAGAGGATTCAGTACAATATCCAGAATGAGACCAAAAGAAGGTAAAGAACTTACTTGACTTTTCTTCTTTAATGTTGTACTCCAGCACACCGGGAGCCTCATTCTGCACTGACAGACGGACTGCAAGGACCATGTTGTTCACATTACCCTCTTTCCTTACCAAAAACATCTGAAAAAGGGGAAAAGAATTAAGAGCTTATCTACGCTATGTGAACTTCTGAACTTTATTTTAGATTTTTGGCAGTGAAAGTTTTTATCAGTACAATCCACCTTTAAATGATCTTACTTCAGCTTCATTCCACTTGGTTGAACTTTACATGACAAAAATAATGAATAAAGGGGCATTTCATCTGTGAAATTCAGACCTGCAGAGGAGCCGGCAAAATTTCTATGCATTACTGATGTTCCACTTAAGCCTAAGGCAAACTATTTCATTAACTGAAGAGTATAAAGCTACACCCACAATTTTTCAAGTGATGATCCTACATAAATGCTCTAAATCACAGATAATTCACCTTAGAATGTCCCAGTCCAGGTCTAAAGCAAGCAAATTTCCTTGTACTACGAGAGGGAATGGATTCAAATGTCCATGAGTGGAACATAAGGGCAAAGGCCCTGTTGGCTATGTGTCTCATGGCAAAGTTCTGTCATGGGACCAGATCATTCAGGCTGGCAGGGAGCCCAAGATGGCTCTTGTCCAACACCTGGCTGAAGACAGGAGGCCAGAGCTGGTTGCTCAGCATGTTGTCCAGACAGGTCTGGAGAACCTCCAGGGGTGGAGACCACACAGCCTCTACAGACGTGCCCACCGCTTACTGTCTTCAGAGGGAGAAAGTGTTTCCCTGTACTCAGTCTGAACCCCTCTGGTTTCAATGTCACCTCTGGTCCTCCCACCATGCAGTGCTGAGCTCTGCTTGGCTCCACCTTCTCCATGACCCCCCTGCAGGTACCAGGGGGCTGCTGTGCAAACCCTGGTCCCACAGCCTCTCCTCAGTCGGTCTGTGCCCAGCTCACTGCCCACCCCTGTAAGGCCTTTCCCACAGCGCTGCCCAGGCAGGCAGTGCCAGCCCAGGTCACTGCCAGGGGTCTGTCTTCCTGGGGCAGAGCTGTGCCTTTGCCCTGTTGAATTTTGGAAGGTTTCTGCCAGCCCTGTCTCCCCAGCTTGTCGAAGATCCCTCTGGGTGGCAGCACTGACTTCAGTGTGTTGACTGGTCCCAAAATCACAGAGCAGATGTGGCTGTAAGAAACCCTGGATATTACCCAGGCCAACCACCATGCTCGAAGATGAATCAACTACAGCAAGTCACTCAGGGCTGTGTCTTGACAGGCTTTTAATATCTCCAAGGATGGAGACTCTACAGCCTCTTGGACAACCTGTTCCAGTGTTCAATCATCCTCACAGTAAAAAAGCTTTTCTTAATATTTAAAAAGATTTTTGTGTGTTTCAAGTTATGCCCACTGCCCTCATCCTGTCACTGCATACAACTGAGAATGGTCTGGCTCGGTCTTCTGTGCTCCATCCCTTCACGTGTTCATACACATCGTTAAGAAGAAGCCCCTGAAACTTTAATTGGAACCAGTAGAAGCACTGCAGCCATTGGTTCCCACCAGAAAGGAAAAGGAGAAAAAGAAAAAGGAAAAAAGAAGGAGAAGGAAAGAATAAAGAAATTAGAACAAAATGAGAAAGAAAGAAGACAGAAGGCAAAAGAAATAGAAAGAAAGGGAAAAAAGGAGACAAAAAAAAAAGGGAAGTAATAAAATAAAAAAAAAAATCTCATTCTTTATTGTGTGAGCTCCTGAGTGTGTTCCTAATTAAAGCTCATTGTTGAGGATATTTTTAGCTTATACCTTTAAAACACAGATATAAAGACAAAGTAATCTTCACTTTTATCTGGTCTTTGATAGAAAATTTTGGCATGAGAAAGTCAAGGCACTTTTATAAAAACTGAATTTAAAATTTGGGCTAATTCTGAACTCTAGATTTTAAAATCAGAAAGAAAAACTGTGGGTTGGTAAAATCATTTATCAACTATGTTGCAGTGGAAATCTATCAAGGAAACATTAATTTCTTGGAGAGAGGAATTAAAAAAGTGTTGTCTAGAAGCCAAGACCTTTCTGGCATGAGCCCCAGTCATAAGGTCATCATAAGAGACATCAATTTGATGAATGGACCACTCGGTGGATAAAGAACTGGCTGGATGGCCGCATGCAAAGAGCTGTGGTCAATGGCTCAATGTCCGGCTGGAGACCAATAATGAGTGGTGTCCCTCATGGATCGGTGTTGGGACCGGTCTTGTTTAACATCTTTGTCGCTGACATGGACAGTGGGATTGAGTGCACTCTCAGCAAATTTGCCGATGACACCAAGCTGTGTGGTTCGGTTGATACGCTGGAGGGAAAGAATGCCATCCAGAGGGACCTTGACACGCTTGTGAGGTGGGCTGATGCCAACCTCATGAAGTTCAACAAAGCGAAGTGCAAGGTCCTACACCTGGGTCGAAGCAATCCCAGGCACAGCTACAGGTTGGGCAGAGAAGAGATTCAGAGCAGCCCTGTGGAGAAGGACATGGGGGTGCTGGTCGATGAGAAAATGAACATGAGCCAGCAGTGTGCCCTTGCAGCCCAGAAAGCCAACTGTATCCTGGGCTGCATCAAAAGGAGTGTGATCAGCAGGTCAAAGGAGGTGATCCTGCCCCTCTACTCTGCTCTCGTGAGACCTCACCTGGAGTATTGTGTACAGTTCTGGTGTCCTAAACATAAAAAGGTCATGGAACTGTTGGAACAAGTCCAGAGGAGCGTAACAAGGATGATCAGGGGACTGGAGCACCTCCCATATGAAGACAGGCTGAGAAAGTTGGGGCTGTTCAGCCTGGAGAAGAGAAGGCGGCTTCGTGGAGACCTCATAGCAGCCTTCCCGTATCTGAAGGGGGCCTATAGGGATGCTGGGAAGGGACTCTTCATTAGGGACTGTAGTGATAGGACAAGGGGTAATGGGTTCAAACTTAAACAGGGGAAGTTTAGATTGGATATAAGGAGCAAATTCTTTCCTGTTAGGGTGGTGAGGCACTGGAATGGGTTGTCCATGGAGGCTGTGAATGCTCCATCCCTGGCAGTGTTCAAGGCCAGTTTGGAGGAGGCCTTGAGTGACATGGTTTAGTGCGAGGTGTCCCTGCCCATGGCAGGGGCGTTGGAACTTGATGATCTTAAGGTCCTTTCCAACCCTAACTATTCTATGATTCTATGATTCTATGATTCTATTCTATGATTCCTGTCACTCTGAAGCACCCATGCTAAACATGTGGGTTTAAAGCAGCTTCACAATCTCTCACAGCGCCATCATCCTGGCCTCTGCCATTCATAAGAAATTGATGGCCATGGCCTCAGTTCCACCAGCAGTGCAGAGAAAATCCAAATACACACATGGCAAACAAGCACATGCCTGAAGCTGGCCTACGTCTAAAGCAGGGCACCCCCGACCTGCATCACAGAAAGTATCTGCAGGTAGGAAAAAGCCATAGAGGCTCCCTCTTCCCCAGGTCCTACCAACCATGGGATAGCATTGTCCCTCTAACCCCCCTCAAGAGGCTACCATGACCCTGGGTCTCAGTCTGCACTATCTCACATAGCATTGGTGAAGTGCTTCATCTGAAATTAAATGTAAGCAACGAAAGAAGTGAAACCTGGAAATGAATCACTTCTATTTTCCTGATTGTCATGACTGGTTGCCATGGCTCCGAAGGCTAGAACTGGACCATGGCTGTTCAGATGGGATGGAGGTGGGTTTTCTGAGCTGTACCTAACCCTACTGCCTGGACCAGGGCTCGTACACAAACCGGTCTCTTCCATTTTCATCAGTGGTGGGAAAGCTGCAGTGCTGATTCAGCTTCAGGATTGCTCAGTGTGGGCAGGAGAGCCTGCGTTTGCCATGGGACACCTCTGATACATCAGCTCTTTTGCCTGTTTCAAGCCACAGCTGGAGACCATGCCTGAGGAAGGTGCGAGCAGGGGGAAGAGAGGCAAGGTTTATCCCCAGAGCTATTCCAGAAGTGTGGAATAGCCCTGCCTGCAGGACTGAGGAGGTCCTGACCAAGGCTTGGGGCCACACACTGCTATATCAGAGACAGTCACTCAGGTCTCCCCTTACAGTCAGTGCAGGAAAACGAAGAGGACAATTTGCTCAACTTGTCTGAGAAGTTCAGGGTAAGGTGCACTGCACAGTCTAGGTTGATCAGCCAAGTCCGATGGAGGTTAGCACTAGGCTGTGCCAGCTTTTAGTCCTTGGATAGACTGACTCAGCCACGGGACAGGTCTAAACCTCCTCAAAGAGCAGGAATGAATTCCCCTTATGCTTTGGCATCAGCTTAGGTCACTTGCACCTGCCATCCACAGACCTGACCAGGATACCCACTCCCTCACTCAGCTTATGAGGGCCAGATTGCAGTAAGAATGACTCCCAGCAGCTCTCAGAACTTAGGGGCCTTTTCTTCAGGGAATCTAATTTTTATTACTCTAAATTAGTGTAGCCAAGGGTATGGTGGAGAATGGGAAGGCATCTCCATGAATCTACATGCCATTGTATGTCTTGCGCTATTGTGAGTGGCTAAAGTATGAAAAGCTAATGGAATCAGAGAACAGTCTGCTGAGTATTTTTGCTTCCACATGAAAAAAAGTGCTGCTCTCCTAACCAGCTCCACCAAACACAGGAAATGTGATTGTCTGAACTGAAACCGCTTTGGACTTACCCCAGCTGCTTCTTTGCCAAGTATTACCCCAGCCCTTTCCCGGTTCATATTCAGCTGAAGCCAGACAGGACAGGTCTTGATGAGTTTGTCAAGGATGCTGATCCCTGGAAGTGGGAGGCAGTTTCGCAGGGCAGCGGCCTGACAGAGATGTGTCTCTTTTCTGTCTTTGCTGGAATCTGTGATACGGCTGAAACACAGCAAGGGAGTCCCTTGTAAGCAGAACTGCAAATGGAAAACCTGGGGGAGGTAAGGACTGTAAATGCAAACACACAGGCACACAGAGAGGCACTTACACACCAGGAGAATTCCTCGAGGGGCATCAGACCACAGACACCTTGCAACAACAGAGGCAAACTAGGTGCACAGGCCTTGATGCAAACACACCCCATCCTAAGGACTATAGCCTCATGGTGATGAGGCACACTTGGGTTTCAGGCCACAGGCTTGCAGGGTGCTTTGTGCTGAGGTCTGCTTGTTTCAGCTCATCTATCTACATTGCCAAAGCACAGGTACTCAGAGACAGAGATAAGGGATGTACAGGGACAGCCAGCACTGTAGAGGACAGAGCATGCTTGTCCCCTGGACCCCATCCTCCAGCTAGAGGGCCAAAGCAATGTTTCATGGCTTCAAAGGGAGTGATGCAGAAGAGGAAAAAAGCCAAAGACCTTACCATCCACTGGGAATACACACATTCCCCCCCCACCATAGCATCTGTCTGAGGTGTGCAGGGGCCAGGCAGCCTGCAGCTCACCTTGTGCCCCTGCTACTGCCAGTGCTTTTCCGATCACACAGGAGCTGTGATGGGCTCCCTGCATGATGGTCACCAGTGTGGTATCTTTCCCCACTTCCTCTCAGAGCCTCTCAGAGGAAGCCTGCAGAGCAGCTAGAGGCACCATCAGCTGCTTTTGCGTTTTGGCAGCCACCTCCGTGTCCAGTTTATGTAGCCTACAAAAAGGCAGACCTAGACAATCCATTGTTTAAAAATAACACTGAGCACTCCCCATCTCCACTGGTGAGTCTGTGCTGATGCTGATGATTGCAGCGGTGGATGCTCCTCCAGCCCTCCACAGAGAGCCAGCTGTGCCCTCTCATGGTGGTGGTGGGCAAAATCCTCCACCTCCATTGTAAATCACAGAGTACAGAAGGAAGAGGGAGGATGTGTTAGGATGCATTCAGCAGCAAGTTATCCGCTGCAGAATAGCTATCCTTGCTGATTCCCAAAGGCTGATCTGCAGCAGAATAATAATTCAGGGTGCAGCACTGCAAAGAGCCGTAGGTTGCTTACCATGACACAGCACGTCCTGCCAGACAACTCAAAGAATGCAGACGTAGAAAACCCTTTCCCTGCACCAATGGTGAGGAATGGAAGGGAGCAGAGCAAATGTGGAGAAACACCAGAGGGACCTTCAGGAGGCAAGAAACGAAGACTTGGTTTTGTTTTTCCTGCCACATTTGTAATTTTGGCCAGTTCTAAAGCAACAATTGTAAGCTTCAAAAAGATGCATGGGAGGTGCTGAGTGACAAGAGAAGGGCTATCCTGCAGCACCGCATGTTAGCAATGCCCAGTCACACCTTATGTCTCAGGTCTTATTCTCAGCTTTACAAGACATAATACAGAAATTATGCTGTTGAGAACATTAAAGATCTGGGACACTCACTCCTTTAGATTCCTGTTCTGATCAGAGACACAAAGAACTGATTCTGTTTATTTTTAGTTCCTGCAGTCTGTTGGCAGACTGGTATTAAAAGCTGGTTTATAGCTACGCCACTGATTCAACAAAGTATTTATGTACGTGCTTAGCACTGCAGTCAGTGGAAATATTTGTGCTGAAAAGTCTGGTCAAAAGAGCTCTACTGGATAAGGCTACATCTCATGGATGTGGACTTCTCATTTGATTAACTGATTTTAAAAGTAAAGAAAATGGAGAACTTATACAAAACATGTTTTTCTGCGCCAGTTTTGCTGCTTAGATGTCAGAGCTGAAAAGGGAAGGACTCACTTTTGATGTGGTCTTACTTCAAGACTTTGCCTTTTCCTTTGTAAAGATACAGATCTTAAAGCTGTACATTTCAAATAAGATCAGACTTAAACTACTAAAAGAGAGTCCTTTCAAAGGCCTTGCCTAACGCAATATGCTTATCCCAAAAGTTATTTTTGATAAAAACAGCCTTTCAAATCCCCAAACCAACAGTGAGATTTTATTTTTAGTAGTTTTTTTTCTTTTGAAACCCTACAGAGACAGCTTCCTTAGAAAATACATGTTCCTTTGCAATCCCAGTTGCTGACTCAGTGTATCAGTCCAGAGAAGCTTGATTCTAATCAACCCATTTTCAAGATTATAGCCAAGACAGTGAGAACGAGAGAGCTGTGCTTAAAAAGCAAACAGAAATAAGTGAAACACTCTCTTCACTTGTGATAAAAGCCCAGCTTGTCACACAGGTGAGGAAATTTCTCTCTGATGCAACAGCATATGATTTTAATCAGTATCATCTGGCCATATAGAGTAAAGCAGCAAAAGAAGTTAACCTGATTCGTCTCTCCACTTCTTTCTTTACAGAAGAAACCAAAAGACTTACTTAGTAACCATGTGAAAGGAAAACCTGTGTTGGATGGCAACGTTCATACTTGGTAATGGGAAAGAAGTAACAAGCTGAAGAAAAAGAAAGGTGAGTTATAATGAAATGGTCCATAACACTAGAAGCAAAGTAGCAAAAGCTACTCCCTAAATTACACAAGCATGAATCTGATCTTGCCAATGATGTGTGAAGCCCAGATCAAAATCAAATTAATGTTGATAATGTCTTGCTGCAGAACCAGAAGGTGATATGCACTGCAAGAGCTCCAGTGATGCTGAATTGAATTGATACCCATCAGTTATGTAAGGTGAAAAGAAAAGGGCCAGCAAAGCACTGATGCTCAGGAATCCCATTGTTTGGATGGAAATGAGGGATATCAACAAAGATAAGGAAGTAATACAAAGCAGCTTGGACCTGGTGAGCACCAGGCATGCAGTGACACTGGCATGGTATTCCTCATGGGGGAGCCCAGGTTTGATGCAGGCGGAGAAGTGCTCAGGCCAGTCACCTTGTCTGGAGTCCTGCTCACAGCAGCAATGCAGGTTTGGCAACAACAGACTGGTGAAGAAAAATAACAGAGCTGCCCTTCCAACACATACGACTGCACATAGGGCCTGTTGTCTAAGTTTTGGAGAACAGATGAAAAATAGGAAATAATTCCAAATATAGACATACAAGATAAAAAAAAAAAAAGAACCTGAGAATATTTGTCTTAATGGAAACATCTCATGATTTGAGTATGTGGGGTCTTTCAGTTCAGATAATTAAGGGCAGTGGATGAGGCTTTTTGGCAGAACAGGAACCCAGCCTTTTGGGGACCCTCAGGAATAAGAGTCCTGGTGTGGGGTATCCTCCTCTCAAAAGCCAGCCCAGAAGAAAGTTTGCAGGCTATTGTTCCAGTCCAGAGGAAGGAAAGGACTGCTCAGTGAAAGGAAAGGCCTTGACAGACAGGAAAGGCATGAAGAGTCATTAACGGGATCATGTTAAAACAGGGGAATGTTAGACTAGCCACTTCCTGGCAGCAAGTTAGATGATGTAGTTCCCAAGAGGAGGGGAGAAGGATTGCATTGCCCAGATCTCTTAAAATGCTGTATTAAGAGCAGTAGCAAACACTTTGAGTCAAATCCTGCACTGGCTAAGAATGGGAGTGAATGACTTAACAGGTCTTTTCCAGCTGTAATGCTGTGCCCCATGACACGCCAGTTGACGCAGTTATAGCTTGACTTCTTTCCTAGGCACAGCTGTCACAAAGGTCCAGATGCTGAGCTGTGGGTCTGCTTAATCCAGCAATTTAATCTGGCTCTGCTGTAGCTCTGTATCTGCACAGAGAGGAGGGAGCCCAGGCAGCTCCCGGGTTCTTGCTGTGCTGCCAGTGGAAGGGATTTGTGGGGCACCGCGGTGGGCAGCTGGCCTTTGCTATTTCACTCACTCAGAATTCACGCATCAGATGATTTCTAAGCTCATGGTTTTCAGAAATAACACGCAACTCCATCCTCCTTCTCCCACAGTCCTGGAAAACCCTGGGACTGATACAGGCAGGTGCTCATTTTTGTCAGGCGTGATGAGAAGCTGAAAAGCTGGCCCTAGAGCTGCCTGGCTTTCGTTTCTTATTTGATTGAGTCCTTACTGCAAAGTACTTTTAAATCCTGCATCTGCTCTGCTAAAGTTAACTCAGCTGGTATGCAGGGAGCTGTGTGTCGCATACTGGCAGGTAACGCAGGTTAATTAATTGCACAGTGATTGCATTCACACACCTGCTGCAGTTTGGCAGAAGGTATTAGGTTGATGGCTGGAAGTAATAGTAATGCCAATGGCGATTTGAATTATTGCACAGTGACTGTACACTGAAGTAATGGCACCACCATGACTGACTGTTTTAGAAATTAAGAGCCACACTTGGCAGCTGCATATTCCCGGAAATCATCAGAACTGCAAGGGGATATAATCCACTGAATTTCATGCAGGTTCAGACCTGGGCATACCTTTGCAAGGGACTTCAGAAATACTGCCACAAACCTGCTGACACGGCTCTGCTATACAGACCTGATCACTCCGAGGCAGCTGAGACACACAGAAACTGTGTGCAACAGCAGCAGGGACTGTCAGATGAATTCTTCACTTCTGCCTATTTGCAGCTTCTGCCTGTCACCAGATCAGAGAAGATGCATCAGGGGTTATTAAATCAAATCAGAAACCAAATGCTCTGTAGTACAATGGTAAGTGAAGGCTGAGGGCCTTAGCATTGTTTAAATAAACCAGGTGTAAGAACTAGAAGTTAGATTTTTATTTTTATGTTTTATTGCTTTTTTTGTTTCCCCTCTCCCTGAATATTAGACGATATCAAGTCAGAGCAAGAGCAAGGATTTGGTGTGCTATCCTCAAGGAAAGAGAAACTCTGATACCTGGTATAGTTATAGCAGAGCAGACACAACAGATCTTCAGATGTGTGCCACCTAGCTTGCTGCTGAGGGAGAAAGATGGACAAGCGGCCATAAACTCCACGGTCTAAGTGAAAAACAACTTTTTGCTTCAAAGCCACCTGGTACCTGAAATGATATCATTCAGGGCAAGCCAGCTTGTGTCTGAAATGCTTTATGCACAGCAACATAG